AAGAATTTAGGATAGAGGTTAAGTCTCAACATAATCACTGGCCTAAGATGATAAAAATTTAGTTCGTGATATTATACCAGACCAATATTACGTCGTTTTAATCCATGAAATCTCCAGAACGTTGTTCGGTACTGCAACAGAAAGTGATGGCAGCTATTGGCAAAGCATATAAATTATATTAACGGCATCAGACAAAACCACGAGGCAATTTTATTTGCCACAAAGAATATTGAAAAAAACATATAAAAGCCTCGAAGAAAGCTTCTTGGCAATGTCTCACCTGATAACAGACAAGATGCAACAATCGCCATTCATTGAATCCCATTTAGATGAACTTAAATTTGGTGTTAACAGCTTGATTCAACAGAAATTATCTCTACAAATCATATCACCCACTGCATAAGATTCAGGCACTGTTAACTAGTAAATACCCTAATTTTCATGTTATTCACATCAATGTGCAATATTATTATTAAAGTTTCAACTTATTTATTTCTCATAGCCATAACAATACGAGCGTATTTATGTATCATTACTGGTAGATATTATCAGTAATTCCAACCAATTAAATTTATACGAAATTATTTCGCTGTCTATAATACTCCCTTTAACTCGCCACATGCTACGCAATTACTCGATCTTTCGAACTATTTGTCTCTATCATGTGATCACCAATTATAACAATACTTGGGTGTATGTATTTATTTTGTAAACTTCATACAATTATAGCTACGCTGTTGTTTTAAGATAAAGCACGAGACTGGGGTTATGCTGGGGAAAGAAAGACTGAAGAAAGTTACCCGAGAAAAAGGATAACCAAGGTCGACAAGCCGAGGTTTTTCTGTCGAGGATTTTTTCTGAAGTCTTTCTTCTCCAGCATAACCGAAGTCGGGGACTTTATCTTGCTTATAAATCGTCTATGTTTACATGTACGCAAAATGAAAATATCCCAGAATTACCGTAAGAAAAACTTTATATCATGTTTTCTTATGAAAAAAACTACCCCGGAAGAATAACCCGTTACAGGTTTAAAGAAAACCTTTCAGAAGAATAGCCGTAAATTCCCCTCTGTATATATTCAGACCGCAAGTTATTCCGGGCATAAAATATACCCCAAAGATCAAAGAGATTGACCGTTATAGGTTTATAATGGACAAGAAGGTGCAGTCCGCATCGTTGACTGATTCCAAATTACCATCATTTATCATCACGCAAATAATAATATGGTAGAAAATAGTAAGGGCGATAATGGTCCATAGGGTCAGTTTGGCATTCTGACGATTCTTATATGTATTATGGTTATGGCCATTGTCGTGTATTTGATTTTTAAACATCGTAGAAGTCATACACTTTTAATGCTTGAGCTGACTACAGGTTCTATATGCGTTGCTATTCCTATTATTAACTTTCCACCGTGTCCCGCTCATAATGATATCATTCACTCTTCTACTCTCGATAAACCTTGTTATCACTTATACCCCCCCACCTTATATTAACTGGCCAAACTTTCAGGCCATTAACAAACTAACCGCTAACTCTCACCCTATAAAAAATAGCTTCCGCAGTTACTTCTATCGCGTCTTTAAATTACGATCATTTTTGAAAAGAAACCATATACAGTGTATAGGTTTATCGCCCACCATGGCTATTTACTTCCAGTGAAAAATAAGTCGTCATATAAAAGCATTTAATCGACCTTCATATGTGAGAATATAGTACTTTACTCTCCATTTTGCATGTATTGTATATAAATGTATTGCTTCTTTTATTCTTATCATGTATGTATGTTTAATGCTTAACCATTGGGGACAAAAGCAAAAACGACAGAGGGAGTACTATATAACCAGTCCAATATCACGTCGTTTTAATCCACATATTACTATTAAAATACTCTTAGAGATTAAGGTATTATGAGCTTTTCTTGTAAATAACTCATTGTTTAACTTTAATTTTGTAAGTTGACAGTGTTACCTTAAGTGATTAAGACAGACAGTTAATCGGCAGGGCAATTGAGTGAAATCTCCGCCATAACTGATTCTGATAGGGTTTAGTGTACTTTATAACATACTAAAAGTTTACCAAAGTAGGACCCCCGGAAAAGTTTTTTTTTTAAGATGGCGTCAAAGATGGCCACCGAAACGTCTTAATGATCATAACTATGTAACTATCAACTCAAATTTGATGATCTTGGTGTCTAGTCCCATGTTTTAGGGGGGCAAACAACACATTAAGATCATTAAAAATGATGTTGGCCTATTATGTCAAAAATGGCCGCCAACATCTCCAAATGACCGCAAGTCCATAACTATTGACTCAAATTTGATGTCTATCCCCAGGTTTTTGGGGGCAAGGAACGCGTAAAGACAACTTTGGATGTCACTGGGCTGTTCAATCATTACGAAATAGAATGCACCAACACCCCTGTCCATAGAATAAGTCTTAGGGCGTTCAGTTTTGAGTGTCATCCTTCACCTCAGTATCGACCTCTTGAGTGTTGTTTGAATGGTCACAGTTTTCTGTTTGGCAAGGACCACATACAGCAGAGTACAGTCCATAGCGTCTGCAGCTGCATCGAGAGGATTTGCATCCCCCGAACCGTTGCAATGCCAGCATTGTTTTGGTTCATAATTGGAATTAACATCATTCTCCTGCTTCCATCCCTATTCAGTTGGGTTCATCTCATTTGCCATCCCCGTTCATACCACAATTTGAAAGTACACACGGTGGCTATGAAATCTTGTTGCGGGTGATGTTGGGGGAAGCCGTTATGGAATGGCAGATGCCACTTTCTTTATGAAAGGACAATATTGGTGCCAGTCATTATCACATATGTGATAGAGCTGGTTAAACACATTCCAAATATAATTTTAACAGAGATCATTGCTACGATAGCTGAGTAATACAGGTTTCCTGAATCGAAAGTGACGAACGTCAAGGAAAACACGAGTCATCCCTCTATATAACAGACTGATGTGACGAGTGATAACAGATACACGGCCGAATTTCCTTTATATTGTCCTTTAAAATGATATGGCACAGTGATGATGGCGTATCACACAACTTGCCACGAAAGAGATCAACCATCAGGTCTTTGCCAAGATCTAATATATATGTCCTGTTGAGATTTGTTTTGAATGGTGAATGCACTAGCACAGGACTTCATGACAGGATCAGATTTCACTAATTTCCGGAAGGTAGACTTTTTCCTGATGCCTAAAATCCTTGGAAGTTGAATCACAGTCTGAGTAGACATGTACAAAGAGCAATTCGTTGCACGCATCGTCTCCTAAAGTTTCTTTCAACAGGTTAATGTTATATACACTTTGTGTTCTTTTGACTGCATGTTTGCGTCAGAACGGAAGTAGATGATCTCATTGTCTGTTCTGGAGTAATAAAGAAGCAAGATCAGCAAATCCCTGACAATTCAAACTCAAAACTGAATGCTCTGAAACTTATTCTATGATAGTGGACAGCTGAAGGTCATGAATTCAATTTCACAATGATTCAACAGCTCAGTGACATCCAAAGTTCTCTTAATGTGTTCCTTGTCCCCAAAAACCTGGGGATAAAGATCAAGATCATCATATTTGAGTCAATAGTTATGGACATGCGGTCATTTGGAGTTATTGACGGCCATTTTTGACATAATAGGCCAACATCATTTTTAATGATCTTAATGTGTTCTCTGTCCCAAAAAACCTAGGGAAAGACACCAAGATCATCAAATTTGAGTTGATAGTTACATAGTTCTGATCATTAAAACGTTTCGATGGCCATCTTTGACGCCATCTTGAAAAAATGACTTTTCCGGGGGTCCTACTTTTTTAACCTCTTAGTATGTAAAATTGTACACAAAACCCTACCAGAATCAGTTGAGAAACCTTTTGTAGCAATTTTGCGGGGGTTTAGGTGGTATTTTCCATATATTGCCCTGACTAATTTTTGTTTCTGAAGAAAAAAGAATAAATTTGAGGCTCTCGAGATTTCGTTAAGGTCGCGAGATGTAAGTAGGGTTAAGCAACGTGATTTTTAACGAGATTGTGGGTTAGCGCTAGCCCTATTTACATCCCTTGACCTTTGAGCAAATCTGTAGTTGGCCTTAATATTTAGACCTAATCATATAGCTCTGTTATTACTCTATCACTAACGTTTATCTGGGCCTTTGTTTCGTACATATTCTAATAGCAAACTAGTGCCGCCTTTGATGATATCAGTAAGAACGGTAATGATATAAAATAATGGTTTTCCTTCATTCTGGGCGGGGGGGGGTTGGGATGGCCTAGTGGTCTAGAGTGCCGCGCTTCGACCTCTGGCTGGCCGGTCACCTCTGGCTTGCGGCTGTGGTTTCGAGCCCTGGTGTGAGCGTATGTGGCATGGAGATAGGGGCGCCTTTTCAACCTCGTGGGTTTCCTCCGGGAACTCCGGATTCCTCCCACTGCTAAAGACCTCTACGCGCAAGCGAATTATTGAAATAAAATTAAACCATATGTTAGTCCCGAAATGACCTAGTTGTGTCGAGTGGACGTTAAACCCCATTTTTTTCTCTCTCTCTCATTCTGGGCGACGTTGATGCCGTTGTTACGATAGTAAACAAAGTCTCGATTATCCATTATTTTTAAATTAAACCATTAACCGCCAATTGTGTTTAAATCTAGAGCCTCCGATGGCATCGAGAGTTGATTATGGTCTTGGCAAGTTAATGTCTATAGGTAGATTTAGCTCTTGCATAATGCATGTTTAATTAGTTTATTCCATTAGTAAAATATCTAATACGTCAAGCTAATCCGTATAGTTTAACATATTTCGGAGAGCGATATTTTAATGGATCGTAATCCCCCTCAATTAAGCCGTATCTTATTGTATTTTATATTATCTTATATAATCCTTAATCGTCTATCACAAATATTTTACACTTTTTATCTGGTTTATAAATTATAAGTAGGACCTATTGTCTTGAGGGCTAAACCGCTGTACTTAAACTGTATTCTATGTTAGTTTGTTTGCATATTTATTACATAATAAGATTAATTACATTGGTAAATGTCAAATATATATAGACCTAAACGAAAATAAACAATCTTTTAAACGCCGTCATAAGGAGGGCATTCATTCAGATCACATTCCTACAGATAAACCTATTTGTAGATTATTGTAGACAGTCATGTGAATATATGTCAAAATAATAGTTTATATAACTCCTGAAGCTAAATAAAGACATGCAGATTTATCTATTACATAACGTATCTTTAATTAATAAAAGATAGAATGACAATTTTGAACGGAGACAGTCCAGTAAGGGACACTTGTGTAATACCAATAACGAAACCTTAACTTGACCCATTTGCGAGGGTTTTTTTTTGTCTTTCTCGTTAACATTACAACACATTATACTGGTGAACTGTTTTACTACAAAACGTGTCACTCCATGTTATACTTTCAATAAATAGGACAACCCAAGTCAAACAGCAAACAAATTATCTTCTCAAATAAGCACAACTTTTTTGTATTGGTCGAACAGATTTGATACTTCGTTAGTCACTGGTTACGCTAACCGTTTTATATAGTTCTCCTGAACACCACATGCCCAAACATACAGTTAGATAAAACACAAACACGACGTACAGCACATCGCCTTGAATCCAAAAAAACGGGATATTATATAAATTAGATTTCTAGATTCTGGAATACAAATAAGCATTCACTTAAGTTATCTTTTATATAACCATCTTTTGCAAACTCTGATTTTCACCTCAAATGTCGTTTAAACAATATGTCAGTAATACCTAAATTAGCACATGCTGTAGCATCACCAGAGCGCAAACTGTGTAGTCCATAAGAAGATATTTCATTAACAAAAAGGGTTTTAAAGGCTTCAATGAAAAGCTATCGCATACGAGTATACGATAGTAGTTTATTACATCGAAATTGGCAATCATGTTTGTACTTTAACTTTCGAAAAATGAACTCATCTGAATCAGCACCAAAACCGGCAAGAGTGAAGTACTTTTCTGTAATTTTAACTGGACACATATCTGTCAAGGTTCTTGCGTTTTGAATCCAAGAACCATCTCTATAAATATCTGTTTTGCTCTTTTAAATGAAAATACGCATATTATGTGTAGGTAAAATCTGAAAATAGGATCGTCTTAAATTCAGCAAGTCATTATATCGTAAAATAAATTCAGCCAAAGCCAGCAAACAAGCACAAATAGTTCTTTAGTTAAAAAGGTTATCTACAGAATGTAAACTATGATACATTTTAGTCAAATGCTCGACTGTGATTGGCTCTTTCTTCCCCACAGACTTGGTCAGTTTCCAACATATTCTTTACATTAGAAGAATTAGTAGGAGACGACAAATCTGCTATCTCATGCTCCCATTTAATACTATAGAATGCAGAAATAACAGGACTGGGAGAATTAGCATCTTGAATAATGCTAGTTAAATACAAAGCCAAATGAAGAGCCTTACCAGGTAAAATGTCTCTACTCGAAATATCGTGAAATAATTCCCACCGTTTCCATTTAATAAAACCTCTACTATACTTCAAAACTGTATTCTTAGATTTAGAATCGTGCAGCAGATCAGTTAGCGTTGTTATTTTACCAACTAGACATTCAGGCAACTCTTGTATTTCCTCCAGATGGCTCTGCATAAATATACGTAAAATCAAATTAGTTGCTTACACAAATAATATACAACAGCCGGAATAATAATAGGCTTACTATTGTCTCGGAAATAATTCATAATAAAACTTTCGTCTACAGTGACAATACATTTTTGTCAACTTTCATCTACAGTGACGAAAATTTTTTTTTTTCAACAGTGACAACAAAATGTTCAACCCCGTATCATCAACAGTGACGAACCATTCGGCAATGCTCGTCAACATATATTTCCCCAAACCAAGTTCGTCATCAGTGACAAACAATTTCAATATTTCCAAAAATATGTTCACAAAAATACTTTCTAAAACTGATACAACTATAAGAACATTCTAATCTACCTATTCCACAAATGATACTTTAAACGCAAGCATACGAAATTTTAAATCTGAGTTCCCAAACATGCCTTTACTGAAACGGCCTGAAATGTAAAATGATGTTAAGATTGGCAAATTTATATAGTCAGTGATAAAACTAGCAAAGGCTGTCCCTGATGGACACAATATAGGCCAAAATGGAGCAGATCTCCATTACGGAATAATAGCAGTTCCACGCGCTTTACATTTCTCCATGTGTTTCAGGAAACGACTAATTAAATTATTACATAGGTGGTACAAATAAACCATTAACACCATGCTAATCTACAGTGAAGGCAGTAGTGCCAGGATTACAAAATCTGGAATAGAAAACAGACAACTTTGCATTATAATCGGATGCCAACCAGTTACACACATGGAGTCCAAAACTTTTATCAGTTATTTCAAATAACTGTACAGAGATTCCCCAATCATCATAATCTATAATTTTAAACGAGATATCTGCTATGTCATTTTCAGTACGAGGAATCCACATATGTAACGTAATAGATGACTTTATGCAAGTTAAGAAGATATTAAAAGCTATATTATGCAAATCTGTTTTCATACTTCCTTTATTTACAATGGTGACAACTCCTTGGTTATCTGTAAACCATTTACACGACTCCCGTGCAAAATATGTACTAAAGAATGTAAAAGCCGATGAACGGCTACTAGTTCACGCCAAGTTGAGCTATTACAACATTCATTTCTATTCCACATACTGCGCGCGATCCCGTTAACCGTCGACACCTCATAACCCGCATAAGCCGAACTGCTTGCATCAGTATACACTATCTTAGAACAACACGGATTACAAAATATGTGTCTATCTTCCCAGAACTTAATCTGTAATATACTAGTATCAGGAACCCAGGAATTTACATTCCAAGAGCGTATGATCGCATCATTAAAATGTAGTTTACATCGTCTCTGAACTATCCTTTAATTTTAATATTTGTATTGCTTTTAACTTTGTACATTTCCTCAAATCAATTACAATTTGCTTTACTGCATATTGCCTTCACTGTTAGGATTAACTGCTTATGGCTTCAGTTCACCCCCTATAATACTTGTCCTTTCATCTTTTATTATTACTTTCATCTATAACTAATTACTGTATATATATATATATATATATATATATATATATATATATATATATTTATTTAATATGTTTTTACAGTCAGGACCTGTTGCTCGTGACTCATTATACCTGCTAATAATTGTTTGATCCTTTGGCTTCATTCCTGCACTTATCTATACCAATTACAGTTTATAACCATCTATGTATACTATTCAAAAAAAGTAGGGGATATTTGATTTTGGGGGCATAATACTAAAATATGCAAATGACTACGAAAAAAGTCACTATAGAACCTAACAGAAGAAACATTTCCAGTTACATGTGACGCCCAAACACACCAATAGCTACCGCATGGAATGCAGGTGATGCTTGGGATCATCATGGGGGTCCAACCCAAGATTTGCACGACTCTGACTTTGAATGTTACAGTCATTGTGGCATTGAATTCCAGGGTGGAAACATCAGTTTAATTGTTTTAGTGACCAGAAAACAAATTTTGATATGCGTCGGCTTACCCAAAATGAAAGGTTACGTGCCCTTGGCATGCTACAGATCGGCACAACACAGGCGGTTGTGGCGCGGACGATGAATGTTTCTCAGTCTGTCATAAGCAGGCTATGGTCCAGATACCGTGATACACAATCTGTACAGGACAGACCACGCTCAGGTCGACCAAGGGCGACAACTCAAGCCCAGGATCGATTTATCCGTACCTTGGCCTTGAGAAATCGTGCCATCACAGCAAATCAGATCAGCGCTCGTCTTCAAACAGACACTGGTGTGAGAGTGAGTGGCCAGACGATTCGGAATCGACTGCATAGGGGTCACCTTCGCGCCCGACGTCCTCGCGTGATCCCTTGTTTGAGAGATCATCACATTCAGGCAAGACGTCGTTGGTGTAGGGATCGTCAACACTGGGATAATCGACGCTGGAGCAATGTGATGTTTTCAGATGAGTCAAGGTTCACTGTTGATTTTTTGGACAGACGTAGGAGGGTGTGGCGTCGTCGAAACGAGCGCTTCCAAGACGTTAACGTCATCAGACATGATCGATTTGGGGGTGGTTCTGTTATGGTGTGGGGAGGCATCACTGTTGCTGGAAGAACGGCTTTACATGTTGTTGCAGGGCGTGTTACAGGCCAGTACTACCGGGACAACATCTTGGCAGTCCATGTTGTGCCGTTCGCACGACGTCATGGCCGCCGTTTCATCTTCCAGGATGACAACGCAAGATGTCACAGGGCCAGGATCGTTACAGGTTACCTCCAACAACAGAACATCACCACATTACCTTGGCCAGCACTGAGTCCCGACCTCTCCCCCATCGAGCATGTCTGGGACATGCTTGGACAGAGGTTACGTCAACGTCAACAACGTCCTGCCAATGTCCAAGAACTTGCTGCTGCGTTGCAACAGGAATGGGACAATCTGGACCAAAATGACCTTAGACGTCTCATTAGGAGTATGCCACGTCGGATCAAGGCTTGTTTGGCAAACAGAGGAGGATTTACCCGTTACTGACTTGGTTGTGATGCTGTGGTAACTTTGCTGTTTGACCCCGGGTATCATTTTACCCTTATAATGGTCAGTCTGTGCCTTACTTAGTCTAACGATCATTTGGAATAAATCGATGAATGTGAACTTCATTTCATTTTGTCATTTGTTTCTTCGTCAGTTTCATTAGGTGACTTTAATAACACTTAAAAATCAAATATCCCCTACTTTTTTTGAATAGTATACATTGTTTATTTAACGGCTTGGGACAGTTGCTCATGCTTGCTGATTTTGCATCCCATTGGAGGGTTCGCACTGCTCGTGTATATATATATATAGCTATTTTGTTTTCATTTTATTTATTTGTGTTATATGCTTGATAACGACTTGTGAAATCTTGTTGAAACGTCGCAGTGAAATAAACCACAGTAATTGTTATCCATAAATAGTGTGTTATTTGATACTAGTATCAGCTAATTTTATGTAAGAATTTTATGACAAAGCGGAAGTAATATCTGTACTCAAGCATTTTGTCATAGTCTGAACAATAATTCCTAAAATACAAGCGACGTGAAAATAAGCTTCCCCACTAAACTAGCCATGAACATGAACTCGACCATGATGCTTGGATATAAAAAGACAATTATTAATATCCAAAACAGTATCATCTTATCTAAACGTTTATCAGTTATAGAAATTGAGCCAGAAAATGAATCAAATCGTACACCCAACAATTGTAGTTCTTGAGTAGGCAACCATGTTGATTTTTCGATATTTGGAACAAATCCACTATCAATTAGATCTCTTTTAATCTGAGAAAAAAACAAGATAGACTCTTCCTCATCCCGTGAAGTTCCAAATCCGTCGTCCAAATACATAACTACAAATTTCCGTCGCCTCTCCATTTACCTATTAGAGGTCGTGTAATTTTAGTAAATACATCCGGCGCTGAGCTAAGGCCAAAGGGTAAAACAAGAAATTTCAAATATTTACAAACACCATTAAATATGCACGAGATACGAACATCCTAAATTTAATAGATTGTTTCCATATAAATTTATTAACATGTCTCAAATATTCAGCCAGGTATGGGGGTGCATTTTATAGAGTTGGTCCCGGTGAACAGCACGTGCAGCATGAGTTACATGAAAATTAGGGAGAACACATTACCATCTCAGAAGTCAGGTTGCGTTTTTGAGAACATTTCCTGGATTCAATTCTGTGTTTGGGAAGGAGTCATTTGCTCAGGTAAAGTTGAAGATGTGGTCACAAATATACAATAAAAGCATTTGACAAGTTTTATGCAATGCGTCTATTCAGGGTAACATACCAACCTGACGTTTCTTTTGCTGCTTAGTATACATATTATGTATAGATGCCAGTGTCGGGGCAAAGTTCTACTTCTTTGATGAATTTCATACGTTTGAATTCGAAAAGGAAGTAGGCAGAAAAGCGAAATAATAGAAAGCATAAGACCGATGCCAAGGCCTCATTTCCCTCATAGCACACTGCATAAAGTATGATCATCTTCATTTGCACTAACGTATGGTACACTTTGGCTTTGACAAAAATCGTAATCAATAATGAGCCTGCACACAAGGATAAAGGAGAAGCAAGGAAAGTCACCAGAGACTGGAATCGGACTCAATGACATATCTTATTATCTAAATCGCACCCATTATACCACTCAGCCACCCCCTGTAGAACGTAAAAGACATGTTTTCGTTTACATCCAAGCCTGGAATAGGAACCACGTCTCTTGACTCAATGACAGTATCTTATTATCTAAATCGCAGGCATTATACCACTCATCCACCCATCATCCGAGTAGAACTTAAAAACATACAAACCTGGAATATGACCCACACCCACCCATCACGTCCATAGAACTTAATAACAATGTTTGCAGATACAAGTGTCAAATTAATTTATTTTTGATACATTTTAAATTGATTATATAATCTACGTATCGTGTTTAAAGGTGATAATTATACGAGAAGACGCGGATATCATTAGAAGTATTACAACTTTATAATATATTGTCTTTATTGCATCTCTAGACAGGAAATTAAAAACATACAAGTGGTCCCAATGGAGTCAGATTTTATTTGCCAGGAACTGATTGATGTGGGTTTCACGTTCACTATTTACAGATATTAGAGATATTTAATACCTAGACAACCATATTATCCAAATTAAATCGAAATCGAAACACACTAAAAATTATCTATATCATTTTTGTGCTTTGGCAGTCTACTTGTCAAAAATGATAAGGTGGATATTATGGAAGCCTATAACTACCATTCATAATTTCTACTTTTCGCCTCTTCAGAACACGAAAGTCGAAAAGTAGAAAAGTAGAAGTTACGACAAAATGTGAGGAGACAAGACGGTATACAAGCCAAAATCAGCCCGAAAATAGGAAATTAAGAAATAACACACCGCGATAATAGCGCCCCCCGTTTTTTCTTAATTTCTACTTTTCGACTTGCATTTTGGTTTGTATACCGTCTTGTCGACTTTCGACTTAGTCATATTTTTGTATTTATTGATGTCAGTAAGAAGGCGCCAACACGCTATACAAGCCAAAATGTAACTCTAAAAGTAGAAATTAGGAAATTAACAAACTGCGCTATTAGCGACCTATGATCTGTCGTACTGTCGACTTTTCGCCTAGGAAGTTGTTGTAGTCTCTGCCTTCCAGGTCACATTTGAATACGCGCAATTCCCGTTAACAAAAATGTCTGTATGCGCGTATTCAAATGTGACCTGGAAGGCAGAGACTACAACAACTTCCTAGGAGAAAAGTCGACAGTACGATAGATCATAGGTCGCTAATAGCGCAGTGTGTTAATAGTTAAGTTGTTGTAGTCTCTGCCTTCCAGGTCACATTTGAATACGCGCAATTCCCGTTAACAAAAATGTCTGTATGCGCGTATTCAAATGTGACCTGGAAGGCAGAGACTACAACAACTTCCTAGGCGAAAAGTCGACAGTACGACAGATCATAGGTCGCTAATAGCGCAGTGTGTTAATTTCCTAATTTCTACTTTTCAAGTTACATTTTGGCTTGTATAGCGTGTTGGCGTCTTCTTACTGGCATCAATAAATACAAAAATATGACTAAGTCGAAAGTCGACAAGACGGTATACAAGCCAAAATGCAAGTCGAAAAGTA